TTTTCAAAAAATATATTTAAAATTACGTCACAATTCACTATGTTATATACATAATAAATACATATAATATTTTTAATTATGTTAGTGAAACATCAAAATTAAATTAAATATTTATCTCGATGTTTCACATATTAAGGCAAGGGGCAAAGTTGGAGCCCGAGCAAGTGGCAGATCGATCGATATATATATATATATATATATATATATATATATATATATATATATATATATATATATATATATATATATATATATATATATATATATATATATATATATATATATATATATATATATATATATATATATATATATATATATATATATATATATATATATATATATATATATATATATATATATATATATATATATATATATATATATATATATATATATATATATATATATATATATATATATATATATATATATATATATATATATATATATATATATATATATATATATATATATATATATATATATATATATATATATATATATATATATATATATATATATATATATATATATATATATATATATATATATATATATATATATATATATATATATACCTTGAAACTAAGAACCACAAGCTTGAGACATCTGCCCTAGGTCATACATTGAACCTAGAGAATGAAGGAATGACATGGGTTAACATGAGAAGCATTTGCCTTTTTCTCTCTCTATGAACAGTGACACATTATATTGTCTTATTTCTTAGATGTTTCTGTATATCCCCCATTTTCAATAATTGTAAATAAAAAATTAGGAACAATAAATATATGAGAATTTATCTAAACATATTCAAAACATGATAATTTTTTACTGTCAATCCAAAAGGATCTATCAAAAGAGCATTCATTATGGTTTCGAAAGCATCCTTCTAATGATAATGAAAAAGTGGATTCCAAAAAGATTCTTCTAAAATTATTTCAGATGACATGAATACACGAAAAACAGACAAAAATTTCTAAAATGCTAAAATAATATTTGAATGACAAATACATTGTAAAATTAAACATACATAATATATTGTTTCATAATTATAAATAAATTGGAGTTAGTTGCACTTAGTTTTGATGAAAAATCACGAGATATTGATATTTTTTTTTTGGTGTTTTAAAGGTTTAGAATTGCAAAGTGATGGGATGAGGAAGGAGAAGGGTGTGGTCTTCGCAAATACATATAATTCGAAAGGAAAGGATACTTATGAAAGAAAGTAGCATCTAGATAAATCCTTTTGATAAAGAGAAATATTGACAATTTTGAAGATCCCAAATATATGTGGGAGGTGGATCAAGGATTTTGAAGAAAAAAAATAGTTTAAACATTACAACATTATATCCTTGGCATACGCCTATTTATATTCCTAACTCTAAAATATACAATGAGTTTAATTGGTTTAGAAAATGTAGGAGTTGTCATCTAGATATCTCATATTTACATTCTCATCTTCATTTTTATTGATTAAAAGAGTGCATAACATCTTACATCTCAATCCTTCCATCAAAATAAAATATAACTTCTAATTTTTTTCTTCTTTTCTTCGTTTTTTTTCTTATAATTATTTTTTCAATTTTAACCAAGAGATTTAAGTGTTATTGGTGTGCGATTGTGCATATGTTCATTCGTCTTTTTGTAGTAGTATATTTGAGAATGAGGTTTTTGGCTTACGTTCCTTTTCAAGATATTTGATGTGCCTTCGAAAAAACTATCTTTCAATGTCTAGTATACTTAAGTTTAAAAATTCAAAATTGTGTCTAACCTTTTTGAATTGATTGAACCGTTGATTTTATAGGTTTTCAACCATTTTAATGAATTGTTCTCCATTTTAAAGCATAAGATTTTTAAGCATACTTTGACCAAATAGATGTACACTTCATGGTTCAACTAGTTGAATTGGTTGATCTAGTATGATTTCTAGTAACTTACTACTAATATCCTTTATAAGAAGTACTTAAAGGGATGCGACTCGCCTTCAAATAAACAATGGCATCAAATATCAAATAAAAGTTACACCTTCAACATTTGAAACTAGCACAAAACCATGACAATTAAATTTGTTATTTGGTGGAAAAGTGTAGACCTTTTCTCTTAGAGGTCATCTAGCACGTCTAATATTAACATGTTCTTAATGAAAGAGGAGGATGGGAGAAGAGTACATGAAGACAATAAAAGAAAAGGTATAAAAATTAAATATGTCAATTTCATTAAAAAAAACCAAATATCTCACTGGAAAATGAGGTAATTGTGAAGACCTTAAATAAGCATAGATAAGTTGATTGATGTATCATCGTACATAAGCTCCTACTAAAGGAAATTTTAGTACCAATTTGTGACATAATTACAAAACAGTCATGGCAGTAGCATAAGGTGTAATAGAATAGATCAAAGTTAGACGAGCTAGCCATAACAATAATCATGAGGTTCTGAGTCGGATCTTGAAAAAGATGAAACATAGATTAAAACACAATCACTTTCATAAAAATACTCGCGCTTTCCTCACTCGAATCATTATAACTACTAAAATCACTTTTAATCAAACCTAAAATATCCATAAAATAACTATTTGGTTCATATTTCCACGAGGTTTCTTAAAATGTGAGTGGCACATAACAAAAAAATCACGGTTAGTTGTAAGAGCTTTTTCAACCTCCATATTTCATCTTATCTCTTTGAGAATCATCATTAACAATGAACTGCAAAGTATAAAATGAAAGAAAAAAAATACTTTAACACAAAATGAAAATAATATTGCATGTAACACGAAACCACTTAAACTTATAAGAAACACAAGACTTAACTTAAATTTCAAAGCTATGAAAAAAGAGGAAAATGAATGGATAAAAATAAAATAGCATACAAAGAAGATCGGACAACTGTCACATAACGACATGGACATGCGAAACAGAAACTCTGTAGTAAATGTTCACTCGATTACATGGAATGGACATAATTTTGATGTGGAAAAAAAATAACGATAAAACTAACTCCTTCCAAGTAACTACAACGTAATATAATGAAACACATAGGCGTAACTCTCAACTTTCCCTCAATCAAATTTTAAGAGAAATTAGATTAAGCACATTTCTCTTAAAGAACTCATAGGATTGAAATAACACTCTTAAGCATATTTCTCTTACAAGCCTCATATTTAAAAGATGATAGACTAGAATAATACTCTTAAACATTTCAAATTTATAAGATTTGAAGTTCATGAACTCAACCTCTTACATGTATTGACATATGACTTAATGTCATAACTCATCACTTAAGCCCAACACAACATCATATGGCTAACCATCCACTCTTTTATCTATTACTGAAAATGGCATTGTGAATTGCTATTTGTGATCATCGATCATATTAGATAGGCATGACAATGAGACAGATCGGAGACGGTTTTTACCTCCCCCAAACTTAAACTCGAATTTAAAAACAACCTTCGTTCCTCGCCCCAAATCCCATCAGGAATTGAAAAATAAAACTCAAACTCATCTCAAACGGGTTCGGGTATCCCTGCCCCGCCACCATTTATTTAATGAAACTTTTTTTTAATAAAAATGTTTATTTTTTCAAAATAAAATCATATTACAAATAATAAAATAAAAATATCTCATAAAATTTCATGTATATATTTCAAATATTTTAAATAATAAATATAAATCAAAATATCAAAACATTAATCACATATTTAATATTCTAAATTATCAAAACTAAAATAATAAAGCACATAATAAAATAAACGGGACGGGTTTGGGGATGAGTTTGAGATGGATATTAATGTCCTCAGTATCCGACTCGTCCCCATATTTTATAATCGGAGAAAATTCAAACTCAAACTCAGTCAAAACGAATTTTCCTCGTTAAATTCTGAGTGAATTCAGGTAAATACCCATGTGTATGAATTATATTGTGATGCCTAATATTAGCGGAGCATGCACCCTAACAACTATAAATAAGAGAATCAACATGAGTGATGATCATTCAAAAATAATCCAAAGAACACAAGAGTTCTTGTCATAGGGCATTGCTACCCGAACTCCTCGTTACATATCTATACACTAATAGAAACTTATGCATAAGCTATTTATATAGTAAAAGGTATAACAAAATCAAATTATAGTCGTATAAACTAGTATAAACTATAAACAACCCATCATATGCATTTCAACCCAACAAAAATGTGTGTTTGGTTTTATCCACGGGGAAGGAGTTTCAGGTCTCAAAGTCATCATGCTTGTTTTCACAATAAGCTTAACAATCATAGTTCTTCTACCTTCTCCATTCCAAAATCAAACAAATTACGAAATTTGCACCGAATCATATTTTTAATATCACTAAAACTAGTTTCCCAGAAGTTATGAACAAAGCAACACACACGTTGAAAATAGGTTATAAACCAAACTAAACTCATCAGGAACAATCAATATACTTCTGTTATATTTAACATATTTTTATCGTTGGATCAATAACGGCTAAAAGACTTATCATAAAAAATAGCAGCAGAAGATACTTTAGTCGAGGATCCAAACTCAAGATACGAAGATCCCTTTCTAAATCCTCACTTCAAATTATCATATATTTATACAATATATCCCCTACTATTTATCACATTTGTTTAGTTGAGGCCAGCATATATCATTTGCAGGCAAACAAGGTAGAAGAATAAGAGAATGAACCAAAGTAACACAAATATTATTTGCATTCTATTACACTTAATGTAATTGAGAGTGTAAAGAATGCAGTGTCTTCCATATTGCATCAAAACTTAATTTACAGCTGCCAGTATATCATATAACACCCTTTTCATTGTTAACAAACTGGCATCAGATCATTTATATGAAATCTTAAGACTATTGTTCGACATCGACTCCGTCTATAATCTAACATATTTGCAGGCAAAATGTACAATGTTACAGCCAAAGTTCACCAAAATGTACATCTCAAAACCGTTTATTGCAAGTAGACCCAGAAAATCCTGAGGCATTTCATAGATCGACACCCTCATCAAGACCTTTGGAGCCAATCATTACATTTGAATCAATTTGTTTGTCAAATTTCTTTTTTCTTCTTGCTTCAAACTCTTGAAACCCATCCATCTGGATAATCGCCAATACTTTAATTGCATTGAAAAATAGATGAGTGAGAAGGTTGAATAAAATCTGGGAACAAGTGCATACCTGTTGAAATTGGTCCATTGATATAGGATTACCATGCAGTGATATGTTCTGAAGAGCGTGGCAATCTTTCAATAGATTCAGAGGTATCTGCCCAAAAGGAAACCAAAGTATCACGAAGACATTCTGGATTACATAAACTCGTAGAATCTTGGATTGGGAAAATAATATTAAAACCATATAGTATCTAAGTCTAATTTAATAGTATTGCAAAAAAATTAATAAAGCAAACCAAAATAAGGAAACGTGAAATATTCGGTAAGCAACCAACAAATAAAGCTAAGATGGGTTACCGACCAGACAAGAATACGCAAATATTGCATGGCAATTCAAAATTGACAAACAATTTCATAAATCACAAGATATGGTTCAAAAAAGGCATCAGTACAATTGTAAATATTGATTCAGCAATTGCTGCACTACACATTTCTTAATATCAAGCCACACTATCTTCGTTCTTCAGTTATGAAAACTATGTGCATTCATTCCCCTTGTATATGCAACAATCTAGTGCAGCAAACAACTTATAATTCTTAGCGAGGGAAGTTAATAACCAACCACTCATTCAAGTAATTTCCAAGTTTATGTTTTCTTCAGAAATTATTGAGTTAAGATTCTTTACAAGCAAAAATAATAATTAAACAATTTGCAATCAACCATTCAAGTCTGCTGCAAAGTTTATAAAATGCTAAAAACTTGACAAAACAAACTCCTATATAACGGTGACAGTCAGATCCACCAGATGAATAATAAACTCAGGTAGCTAGCTATACTGAGGAGTCAAGTGGTGTAATCAGGACAAATCTTCCTCACTTGTTATGGTTTGGTTATGTTCCAAAATTTCAAAGACTGAAAAGAGTGAAGAATGTACTTGCTTCCCGTTTCATATAGAATTACAATAGGTAGAATCAAATTTTTATTGGGTATACCTACAAGAAATCTGTCACAATATATATGAAAAATATAACAATCATTAAGAATCATTCTTTGCTGTGTCCTCCTTTAAGTAACTTTTGTAGCCTCTAGGACCCTATTGTCTTTCGTCCCAGATCCTAAGATGTAATTTGAATCGCCAAACAAAAATAGTACCCAGTTCTCCCAGAAGCAATTTGGCTTCAGGTTTGTCCTAGATTTGGCATGGTACGGTGTGGACTATTGTCGAACTAGCAATCTGGCCTCGACAAGCCCTAGATACTATATAAGGATCCTCTCTATTTTTCAAAAAAAGATTCCATTACTAAAGATTTTAGGTGTATAAAGAACTCAACACATTTCGAAAACTTCTGACATAAATTGGACATTTATACACCAAAAGCGCAATAATGGATATTTCCATTTTTTTAAGGTATAGGATCTCTATCCCCAAGATGCAGTCTAGCCCTAGCTCTTATCAAAGATATAGTCTGATCCTAGCTCTTATCGTAAGTGCAATCTAACTTGGCTCTTGTTTTAATAGACTTTCCAGTCATAACTTGTGAAGTCACTATAGATTTTTTCCTCTTAAAGGGTTCATTTTAATAAAAGCTTAACGTTTAGAAAGCTAGGAAGACTGTAAGAATATCAAAACATATCTCACCGCATAATTACTCTTTCATGAAAACATGCTTTGAGAATCTTGTATTATCTCGTAGAAATGATTTCCACGCATTTTAATGATTTTTTCCCATATTTAATAAGGATTTAGAGTATAGTATCTATACCATTATATAAAGGCAACTCCAAAGTTAACTACCATAAACAACTAATTCTGATTGGATCTTTTTTAGACAAATTTACCCTAACAACCCAATTCTTTTTCAAATTTAAATTAAATCTACACTAAAACTTAACAAAATGGTGTACCTGCTTCACATTATTGTTGTCTAAGCAAAGGGATTTCAAGTGAGAGAGATTGCACACTGAAGAAGGAAGATCTTCAATAAGATTATCTGAAATGTTCACAAAAAGTCTGAAATTAGATTCATTCAGAAGCAGCATAAAGCTAAATAAATAAGAAAGGTGGTGCATAATGTTCCAAATATCTAAATTTGATAATCATGAAAATGGAAAATCACAAGGGTATTGGTCTTATGCTATATCACCATAATCATTCTTGAACCCAATATATTGTTGTCTGTTCAAATTATAACCAAATTGTAACTTTTGATTAAATTAAATTAAACTAAACCAAGTAACTAGAAAGCATAAGACAGTATAAATGCCTTAGCTTTCATTTAGAGATAAGATGTAAGTTGTAAGAGCAGAAAACTATTCTCAAACTTAAAGTCTTAAAGCAATCTAATCTTGAATTTATATCTTCCATAAAACAAAAGCTTCCATTGGTAGAGAAATAACAAAAAGGAAGATTCTCCAAATCAGATTAACAATCAACATAATCCAGTTAAACTAAATAAGTAACATGTCAATTAGGTAAAAATCTCACCAATCATTTCAAATTTTTACAAGGAAAAAACACAAAGGAAAAAAGACATGCATTACCATGCTCATGCACTGCAGAAATGAAAAAATTGTGTCAAACCGTCAATCAGAAACATACCATCAGCTTGTAATTCTTCGAGAGAGAAGCAACTCCCAACAGATTCTGGAAGGGACTGTAACTTGTTGTTTGAGACATTTAAAATCAACAGCTGCATTATCAAACAAGATATCATACTTTAAAAGTTATAAGGGTACACATTTCATATCATAATTTCCCCCCAACAATCCAAGACGGGCACGCTTGGATCATTAACTATGAGAGCAAGAATGATCCAAGCGTCACGCAAATCCAATTCATAGGTCTCTATAGCATACATCCATTGTTTATATAACATTGAAGATAAGAAAGATAGTGAAAATAAAATAATCTTGAGTTGTACAAGGGTGTCCTAAAACACTCCTTCGTTTAAAAAATAAGCATGTCAACAGAAAACAGTATATTATCTAACAAGCATGGACAGTTAGAAAGAAAGAAAGAAAAGAAAGGGGAAAAAAAGGTTACAACACTGATGACATGACAAATTATGTGTCTCATTATAATGAGTAATGATGTCCATGAGATGTCAGCTCAGTGGTAACAGTTTGACCTAGTAACCTCAAGGAACGGAATTCATATTCTCTCATGGACGGTTGTAAAAAAGTAATGATGCGTTGTGTATCAAATGTATGGCATGGAGAAAGCTTACTTTCTGAAATGTCTTAAGCTTAAAATGATGATCTCAGACTCTTCAAAATGCAATAAGCATGCAGCGATGATACACGTATCTACACATAAATGCAGTATGTGTGCAATCTTCCAAATTCCATAAATGCAGATGCGATATAAAAAGTCGGACGATATTCAGGTTTCATTATTTATAATTACTTACGTTTCTCAAACTGCCAATAGTTGCCGGCAAGGATGTTAACAAATTCCCTGAGATGGACAAGCGTTCAAGCCTTACTAACTGGCCCACTACAAACAAAATACACTGAAAGTTATTACATAAAAGAGGGATAATAACATTTCTTTTTAAAAAGTATCTTATTGGGTGAAAGTTGAGGCATTACATTCATCAGGCAAGGAAGTAATTCGATTTCCATCAAGGTTCATGAGTTTGAGAGACTGGAGTTTCCCCAAATTCACTGGCAATCTCTCAATGATGTTGTCCGCTAATACCTGCGATGTTAGTGCACCTTCAGTACATAATAGTATTTTATATCGGTCACCAGCTACTACAGTACTGATAAAAAAAATATTAAACAAGTAAGCAGCCATGACCATGTTAGTGCACCTTCATTACATAATAGTATTTTTTATTGATCATCAGCTACTGATAAATAAACTTAAACAAGTAAGCAACCATTACCAGCATTCTACCATGGAAAAACAAATGAAAGATAGCCATGTGCTTAGAGCCATAACATGTGTCCCAAAATGCATGAGTTTCAAAGTTAATAAAAATTTTTTAATAGTTTAACTGGAATCAATGAGAAGCGACACTCCCAAAATGAAAGAAACATTATGATAGGGTTCAATGTGGGAATGAAGCCAAACTTCGGTTAGACCAAGGTTTCAAATTTTCTTATTTCTCTCTTTTGTTGACGAGTGATGAACAGTGTTGTCAATCACACATCGCGGAAAATAGCAGTTTGTTCAAATACTCCTGCTAAATCGTGTATCGTAGAATAGTATAGGTTTGTTAAAATTCCACCCACTATAGTGACATAACGTTGCTATAGCCGCTATTTGACAACACTGGATTTGAGAGAACTATGTACCGCAACTAGATTGAGATTGTATCACCTACTAAGTAAGCAGACAATTGTAATATCTAATGTGCATGGGTTCCGTAACCAGTGAGCACTAGACTCTTCAATTCTCTTGCTTCCCTGGTAATATAAGTGATAACAAGACTCTCTTTAATACTCTTTTTCTTGACACACTTTTCAATGATTGGGTGAAATTCATGAGTACCGCCTATTAGGGAGTTAGAACCTACATAATGTAAAGGAGTTCAATGAAAAGAATATTAAGTATTGCTTGCATCGCTTTGCAATTTTTTTACAGGTTCCAAAGCCTTCTACTACATGCTTGTGAATCAACAAAATATTAGACGGTAATTTCATTAGCGACACAAAAACTGGACATGAAATCAACAATTGCACATACAACTGAAAATGAGACGTGGTTAGGGATGGTAATAAAATCCATACCCGCGGATATCCGCAGATAAAATCCGTCACGTATATGGGGCGGGTAGCTTAACAGATATCCATGAATAAAATAAATGGATATTTAAATACCCATTTGTTAATCGATATGGATACGGGTTTAATGATATATGTGCCCGCAGATATCCATATCCGTTAATAAATTATAAAAATCATTTAAATATCATTAGTTTATTATACCTTATCTTTTCATCTTTTAAAAAAAATTAGTCTTCTTATATTTCTTTCTTTTTTTTTTGAAATTTTCTTTGAAGAAAATCTTTCACATTTCATTCAAATTCAGTTACCCATTTTATATTTAAACTCTTCAATACTTCATACCCACTTTAACAATTTCACAATCCAACCAACTAGTGTCGTCATTCCTCTGTCGAACCAGTGTCTCCCTTCATACTCCTCTGTCGTCCGCTCTTCTATCATAACTCACAATCACAATATCTTTTATTTATTTGGTTAAAAATGAAATGTATGTATATTATGTTTGAATCTAATTATGTTTTGGTGAATAAGAAAAAAATTACATCTGATAAAATTTTATTGGTTAAAAATGGATGTTATGTGATAATAACTTTTTGTTTCTTTAAAAGAAGTTAAAAATATTTTTTCTCAAAAAATATTATTTGCGGATTACCCGCTTAACAGATTCCCACATGAATACGGGACGGATATGGATTTCATATTTATCCAACGGGGTGAATACGGATATCATATAGTATCCGTCCCCATGGATATCCATTTACATCCCTAGACGTGGTATATACTATCCTTTCAAGTTTAAACACGAATTTTATGAAAATTCACTGAAAATAAAACCAATCAAATTATAGTACAAAACAGCACGTAATCGAGAACTCAAGTTAATAATAAATGATAGAACATATAAAAATAAATAACTTTTACGAAAAACGATTGTCAAACTGATGCGAAAATCTATTGTAGCTGATTTAATTTACTTCCTAAGATAAAATGCACGGATTTTAAGAAATAGATGCTGAGAGCATAGTGTAAAATGTCAGGTTCTTACCAGGCGCTGCATATTAATCAATTTGCTAATTTCCAAAGGAATGTCAGCTGCAGTCATGAAATAAATTTGTTAGCAATAAAATAACAGCATCAACAATGATGATAATAACTTTTAAGAGGAAAGACACTTCTCATTGAGTCAAAATTATTACAACTACTTCAAAGCTAAGGCTTCTTAACCAAAATGTAAGTAAAAGGAAAGAAAATTGCTTACCTATTCGATTATGCGTTAAGTCAAGAGTGCGTACAGATCTGTCTAAATCAATAATTTCATCCGGAAAAGTCTGGTTTAGAAGGAAAACAAATGAAACCAATGTAAGTCACATGTTTTCCCATAAAAAACAGACACACATACACAGGCTAGCAAATACTAATCTCCACGGAGTCTGGTACTTCCTTGAGATCCAGAGATGAAAGATCTTAAAGAACAAACATTCCCAACAAATATTCTTCCATACACACAAATTAGAAAACTAATGATAACATGCATAAGGAACCTCGTGACAATACTCATCTTCCTATGGTGTCATGCCATGTTGGTCTAGTTATATTTTGGGTGAACCTAACATAGTTCCATTTAAAAGAGAGCACCAGTGTTCTCTTCACGTAAACCGCATATTATACTAAATAAGAAACAACTAATGGTCACACAAAAATTGATAAAGTGAATTACATCCTTCACAAACTACTCGTTATACAAAAGTAATAAAATTAGATTAACAAATTATTCTCAAATAGACTAACATGACAATTCAAACCTATGAAGTACAGACGCCGGATACACGACACCGACCCTGACACAGTGATACTAGTAGATTCATCTAAACCACCTCAAAAAATAAATAAATTAAACATAATCACAAGTGTTGTTGTTGTCAGACACAGACAGTGTATGTGTTGGTGCCACAGAGATTCAAACTACCATTATAGAATCATATTAATATCAGAAATGTTATTTCAACATCAATTCAAAACAACAAAATTCGCCAACTTTTTAAACAGTTACGGCAACTCATAACTTTTTCACACACATGGTAAACTCATTTCAACAAACGGCTAATGAATATATCAAGATTGAATAACTCATCAACCATCAAACGAACTTAATAAACCACAATTTCAACAGCTTCAACTACATACACAATTGAACACTTGAAAATCAATGTTAATCACAGATATAATCTATGGTTAATAAACTTGCAACAACAACACCTGATACATCTATTAATCATGTGTGTAAACTGAATTAACCACAAATGTTCAAACCCTAAATCGAATAATAAGAATTGATTAAAAACAATGAAAAGAGAAATTGTTGAAGGTTGAGTAGTTAACTACCTTCAATTTGGAATCGCGCAAAGCAACAATGCCAGTGGATCGCCACCGCGAGACTCTACTCGCTTTCGTCTCAGAGCTTTTGCTGGCGAAACAACCCATTTTTTTTCCTTCTCTGTTTCTTTTGGTTTTCCAATAACAAAAAAAATGGTTATGATTTTGAAGATGAAGAGAGTCAAAAGAAGAGAGAAACTGAAACCGCGTTTTTGATCTTTTTGGGTTTTCCAACCACTGATGACGTACTGCCTCGGTGGTGTTTTCGGAATTTCTATTTTACTTTCTCTCTCTTATCTTTTTTTTCTATTCTAATTCAAATATTCTATTCAAATTTTATATATATTTAATTAATTTTAAAATGTTTGATTGGAAAATATCTAAATAAAAATAAGTAAATAATAGAAAATTTTGGAATTTTTCCTACGTTAAAAATTTTAACTAATTAAAATAAAATTTACAAGTATTTGAGAAGATAATATTTTAAAAAATCGTATAATATATAATTTATTTAATATGATTTTCTTTAAAAGGGTCAAAATAGGAATTTTCACTGATTTTATTAAAGTATTAAATTTTAATGAAATGTTAAGTATTTTTCTTTGTTATTGTTAAAAAATAATTATTTGTAACTAAAAATATAAAATTTGCCTTTAAATTACTTTTGAAAAATCATATTATACAAAATATATAATTGAAGTTATAAAGAATATAATTGTTTTACTTTGGTGCATAAAAATTCAAACAAATAACATTTAAAAACAACATAAGACGGTTAGAGCATGTCATTATAATAAGACAATATCCATTGTTATTGTCAATAGCAATGATATATCCTTTCCAATTACATAATTTGTTTATCTTTAATTAATTGTTAGTTGGTCTGTTAATTTATTAATAAGAACGATTATAGTTCAATTTTTTATAATTGTAATTGAGAAATGATTGAAATCACTTAATATCAAAATTAATATTAAAATTAAATTAATTAATTAATTAAAGATCGAACAAACAAAATTTAAACTTTATAACAAGTTGATTTTCAGTATTAATTATATACATAATAAATTTGTTAAATGACTTTTAATTTTGTCTTACTTCATTAAATTTGTTTAATGACTTTTAAATTTTGTCTTGCTTTATTAAATTTGTTTAATGATTTTTAGAATTTTATCTCCCTTTATTAGTCATGATTGCTTGTTAGAAAAACATAATGTAGTTTTTTTTTTTTTTTTTTTTACTTTGGAACATATAAATTTAAACAATTAAATTGTATAAATATCTTTTGTATTTATAAAAAGTGCTAAAGAAATTCCATTATTAATAATCAATACAAGGAGGGCGATTATAAAAGTTTTTTTTTATAAACCAACTTCATTCAATAAGAATATTAGGAATATCCCAACTCATATACAAGAAAGATCAACAACATCAACCCACCAAAACCAATTACATACCGTCTAAAGAAAATTTGCACCAATCATAATAATTATGATAGATGCGAGAATTCGATCTAGCTGCTAACCACCACCAAGAAAAAAACTATATTATATATACAATAAGATCAATGCCCCCCACCTCATTACCAAATAAAATTTGATTCCTAGACAACCATATACACCAACATATCACAATCCCTAATCCACATGAAGAGTTTGTTGCACATTTCCTTCTCAAGGATTCCATCCATTTCAATAAGTGACTACAACAATTATTTTTAGCAAACCTCTTATACTAATCTAATGGAACACCTTTCTTCAAACCTGCAGAACTTGTGGGCACAGTATAAAAATATGATCATTGCTTTCCACCGGACCAAAGCAGAATACGCACACTGTGTCATGTTGATTCCAAATGATTCCAGGTTCCAGCAGATTTTGACAAGTCGACAACCTATCAATGAATACTCTTCAAGCAAAGAGTTTCACTTTTGAAGGTAACGTTATTTTCCACATGTAAATTAACACCTTCTTCAACAGACAAGGCAATGGTCCACCCACCATGGCCAACATCAATTTTGTGTAGAAAGATTTAGCAGTGTAGCAGTTGTTCACACCATAAGGCCATAAAACACCATCTGATAAGTCTTTGTTTGGCTTGAAATCGTGCAAAATATTGAGCAATTTAGTGTGCTCAATTACCAAAGATTGCTGCAGTTGTACATCTGGTGAGGAAAGTTGCCACATTCATCTTGTTCCATACCACCAACCCATCTCTTTGACTGATTTCTCTTTACAATCAGAAACCCCATACAACCTTGGAAATATTAGAATATTAATAGTAATTCATATTTATTTAGTTGAACTATTTTCTTAGCCCCTAAGTTTGTTAGAGGGTATTTTAGTATTTTATCTTATTCTAGTAACCCTAGTTTTAGCTTATAAATAGGGTGACAATCATTGTAACTTTTATCATGTTTTTTTGTAGCTGTCATTCTTAATAGAATATTTCCTTTGTTCATCATTTATTCACCTTTGCACCAACAATTGGTATCTAGAGCTCCGGTTCAGATTCATTGGGAAACACGGGAAACACGAGTGAACGTGAGGTCTTGTGTGTTTGATTTTGATTCTTAGATTCGTGTTGAATCTTGAACAAAATCTGATCAGAATTTTAATTCTGTGGGTTGGGAAACACTGTGTGAGAAATCTGAGTGTATTGTGCAAGGTAGAAGATGAACGGAAACGGCAACATGAACACCAAACTTCCAGTATTTGATGGTAAAAACTGGAATCGTTGGATGATCCAAATGCGTGTACTATTTGGTGCTCAAGATGTTCTAGATCTTGTCACTGATGGTTATGTTCCAATAGCAGAAAATGCAACAGATGAACAGAAAAACACGCAGAAGGAAGTAAGGAAGAAGGATCAGAAAGCATTGTTCTTCATTCATCAATGTGTAGATGTAAATGTGTTTAAGAAGATTGCAGATTCAACAACAGCAAAGGATGCGTGGGACACACTGGTGAGATGTTATGGTGGTGACGCATCAGTGAAGAAGGTGAAGCTTCAGTCCTTGAGAAAGCAATATGAGAATCTCAACATGAAGAATAATGAGAAAGTCTCTGAATACATCTCCAGAATGATTCTGATCACTAATGAGATGAAGGCGTGTGGAGAAACTCTTTCAGAAGAAACAATCATGGAGAAAGTATTGAGATCCCTTACTCCTCAATTTGATTACATTGTGGTAGCAATAGAACATTCCAAAGATCTGAGCACCATGAGAATTGAAGAGCTGCAGAGCAGTCTAGAAGCGCAAGAGTTGCGTTTGACTGAGAGAACTTCTGAAAAGGAAATAGAGCAGCAGGCTCTGAAAGCAACTTCTGATAGGAGGTATCAGAAGCAGTCAGAAGCCAGGAGAAGATCTGATGGTGGTCAGAAGTCAGAAAGCTCAACCTCTGATAGACAAAAGAATGCTCAGAAGGGAAAAAAGAAGTATGACAAGAAGAAGATCCAATGTTACTGTTGTAAGAAGTTTGGTCACTTTGCTAGAGATTGTTGGTCAAACAAGGAGAGAGAAATCAGAAGAAGCAAATATAGCCAGAAGCTCTGATGACGAATCTGTGCTATTGATGGCTTCTGAATCTGATAATATGGATCTGATAGACTGGTGGTATATGGACACTGGCTGTTCAAATTATCTTACTGGAAACAAGAAATGGCTGGTTGACTTTGACTCTGAAAAGAGAACAAAGATCAGATGTGCTGATGACAAATATCTTAATGCAGAAGGTATGGGAAATGTCAGAGTGATTCTGAACAATGGGAAAACAACATTGATTCAGAACGTGTGGTATGTACCTGGCATCAGAAGCAATCTGATGAGTGTGGGACAATTAATTGAGAAAGGTTTTTCAGTTACCATGAAGGATAATCTTCTGAAGCTGTATGACTGCAATCAGAAGTTGATTATGGAGTCAGAACAAGGAAGGAATAGAACATTCAAGGTGAATGTCAGAACTGCAGACTCAGAATGTCTCAGTGCAACATGTGCTGAGAAGGAGAGTGAGCTGTGGCACAGAAGATTTGGTCATTTGAATTTCAGAAGCTTAAAACATCTGAATTCAAAGAAGTTGGTACATGGAATTCCTGCAATTAAGAAGCCTGAAAAATCACGCAAAGTTTGCATGGAAGGAAAACAACCACGATTGCCATTTGCGTCAGAAGCTGCTCCAAGAGCAAAACATTCCTTGGGAGTTGTACATTCTGATGTGTGTGGTCCATTTCCAGTAGCATCAATTGAAGGAAATAAGTACTTTGTGTTATTTGTTGATGAATTCACAAGAATGACATGGGTATCCCTTATTAAATTTAAACATGAGGTGTTTGATGAATTCAAGAAGTTCAGAATGAAGGCTGAGAATCAGAGTGGTCAGAAGTTGAAGATTCTTAGAACTGATGGTGGAGGTGAGTATAACTCCAAAGAGTTCCAGAAGTTCTGTGAGGAGAATGGAATTGAGCATGAGGTTACTGCTCCTTATACCCCTCAACACAATGGTCTTGCTGAAAGAAGAAACTGTACTTTGCTTGATATGGTGAGAAGCATGCTAAAGGAGAAGAAGCTTCCTCAGAAGCTCTGGGGAGAAGCTGTTGCCACTGCAACGTATGTACTCAACAGATGTCCTACGAAGAAGTTGAAGGAAATAGTTCCAATACAGAAGTGGACTGGAGATAAGCAAAGTGTTAGTCATCTGAAGGTGTTTGGTTCTGTTTGCTATAAACATGTTCCAGAAGCCAGAAGACAGAAACTGGATGATAGAAGCAAAGTGATGATTCTGATAGGGTACCACAGTACAGGTGCATACAAGCTCTATTGTCCAGAAACCAATAAAACTGAATTCAGCAGAGATGTGATTGTGAAGGAATCAGAAGTTTGGAATTGGGATAAGTCTCAATCTGATTCTGATGTTAGAACTCCTGGAGAAAGGTCAGAGTTAAGAATTTCTGAAGTTGGAGTAAATTCTGACGTTGATTCTAACTCTGATAGTGATTCTGACTCTGGAGAAGACTCAGAAGATGAAGGTGACTCTGATGATCCAGACTCTGATGGTAATCCAGATTCTGGTGGAAATTCAGACTCTGAAGATGGCCAAGACTATGAAAAT